CCCCAAAACCCCAAAACCCCAAAACCCCAAAACCCCATAGAAGATATTTAGGATTGAAATTCTCCAGGATCTTTACATGAAATACAAGATTTCAGGTATCTGACCTGAATATACTGAAGTTCCATTGCCACTTTCACTTCCGCTCTCAACTTTAAACAATCCTTTGTGCTCATTTTCAACTTCATGATAGGTATAGCCATCGTTGCCATGATAAGTTTCAACATTTGTATGAGATGACATACTTTCAGCAATCCAGACTGTTATGTCTATTTTTTGCTCTTTCGAAACCGGGTAAACTCTCTGAAGTCTGAATCTATAATAGTGCTCATCTTCCCAACCAGAGCACATTACGGTATCCTCTTCTACTTCAGTGCCATCAATTTTTATTCTGTATTTCATCTCATATGAATCTTTCTTAGGAGAAGAATAGGTACTAAAACCGAAGAGTCTGATATCTTGTGTGGGCACAAATCAGATTCCATCAGGATAATTTCCAGAATTACACCAGAAGTAATCAGTAGTCACTTTCTTGAATCTGAGAAAGCGGAAGGGTACTCCGTACCCTTCCGACGCATAGATTGAGTCACCTTCATGGATGTCTTCTAAGGTAGCAACTGTTGAGTTCCTGTCAATTTCTTTACCTCTGAAAAATATTTTGTATTCTGAAAGTGCTTTTCCCAATCCTTCAAACAAAGCGTCAAAGGTAGTGTCAAACTTATCATAAATCCCTGGATTTACTTCCAAGGTGATAGTTTCGTTATTGTCTTGGTTGATATTGAGAAATAGCTTGATGGTGTTCTTGAATTCTTTAAAATCTTTTTCATCAGAGATCTCTTTGGACTCCGATCCGTCATTTTTACTAAGGCTTGCCCAGGTTGGGGTATAGTCGCCATCAGTTTTCAAGTCAACTACCTTGTACCATTCATGCTCATTTTGGTTGTAGATCAGGTTTCCTTTGTTAAAAACTGGAGCTACTTTTCCTTTAAAGCTTCTGAAAACATTATGGATACTAGCTTCAGAGAGATTAAATTGTTCTGGAGCATCTTTCTTAAGTACTTCCTGTGTGAACTCCTTTATAGAAGGCCTAATATGAGAAAAAGGTAGTCATCCATCATCCAAAGTCACTCTCCAGAAAGCATTATTCTTATGTCTATACTTTTTATCCCCTATTATATCTTCTTTTTCTTCCATATTTTCCAATAAATTAAAAACTCAATATTTCCTATTCCACATGGGGTTTTGGGGTTTTGGGGTTTTGGGGTTTTGGGGTTTTGGGG